CTCTCTCTCTCTCTCTCTCTCTCTCTCTCTCCATAATTACAGCTATTGCCGAAAATGTGCTTTAGTTGAGCACTGCAAAGTAGATTCTTTACAGTTCTGTAATTTGAGAAAATGTTGGTTTGCAATTAGATGAAATGTGATTATTAAAGAGATTACAACTGGGTTTGACGACCTTATTTTCCAAGTTTGTTCTGTCACATTTTTGTCGCCGGACGGATAATCGGCCAACATGCTCTAGGATAGATTTTTTTTGTTTCATTCTGTTGTTACACTAATGTAAAATGTGGACGAGGATGTCTTGATTCTCAGAAAAAAAAAATGGAAAAAAAATGACTAATTGTATATCTGTATGTATTACTCGAGTTATAGGATATTGCAATTGTCATGTTTCTGCAATTTTTGGCAATCCAAGGACAATATGTGGCAATACATATAGTAGTATTACATCCTTATAGCTCAGTATTTATTTTTTTCGCAATTTTTATGTTGGCTCATCACCGCCGTATTTATTAATATGCAGGAGGGACTGGGTTGGAGGTTGAAGATTGGATCAAAGATAGGCCACATATGTATATATTTTGAGAGAGAGAGAGAGAGAGATAGATTTGGAATGTGTGTGGAGTAGTCGTCATTTTCATTATCCCGGGACGTGGTGGCTGGCCGGTCCAGCATTGTCGTCACAGTTACAATCTTCTTAAAACAAACTTTATACATTATCATGTCTTTCTCCTTAATCTCCATTGCCTCCAATTCATCATCTCCACTCGTCAGAAAGCTTCCCATAGTCTCCGAATTTTATTCTTCATTCTCTGCCTATCCATTCGAATACTACTTCCATTATCATTCCTCTTCAACTAATTTTAGGAGCACGACAATCCATTCTCATCTTTCCACTTCCTTTCGTCCAGTTAACTCTATATCCAATTCATCTTCATCTGCTGAAGATTACAGTTTGGTGGACATTAGTAGTCCCTCTGCATCTGCAGCTGATGATGAATTAGGAGTCTCTGATTCTGATGATGAGAAAGCCCATCAAGAACATGAAATTCAAACAACCTGTTCTTATTCTTCCTCTTTGCCTGATAGATGGCATGTCTTGGGACTCGGCCAAGCTATGGTAAAATTTAATTCGACCTCCTAAAACTGATATTTTTTTTATTTTTTTTAAATTTGTATCATTTCATCTTTCCCTGAAGATTATATTTGATTTAGCAGCACTTTGTTTATTCACTTTGTTTGTTACATATAGGTGGACTTTTCTGGTATCGTTGATGATGAATTTCTAGTTAGACTCGGGTTAAACAAGGGAACGAGGAAAATAGTGAATCATGAAGAGAGGGGTAAAGTTTTACGAGCCATGGATGGATGCAGCTACAAAGCTGCTGCGGGTGGTTCTTTATCTAACACGTTATCGGCCTTGGCAAGGCTTGGCGGTCAAGCACTCAATATTGCCATGGCAGGCAGTGTTGGAAGTGATCCACTCGGTGGATTCTATCGGTACACTCTTTTTTTTT